TCCCTGGGGTGCAGCTGGTGCAGCGGCCCCTAGAGTTGAGGATCCAAGCAGGCTGAGGTCTGGGTTTGCTGGAGGGCCCTCGGTGACTGGTCTTTGTCCTGCTCCCACTGCTGTGGTCACTGTAGGACCTGGAACGCTGGTCACCTTTCCAGCCTGGCAAGGGGAGGGGACTTGTCTGAGGCCTCACGGAAACTGGGGTAGGGCTGGGGCAGGGACAAGGTGCCCGGCTTCCTGGCTGTGCCCGCAGCCTATGGCCTGGCTACAGCGTGACCAGGAACGCCCAGCACAACTGTCCTTTGCAGTTCTGTGCCCTGACTTGATGGTGCCGGGGCTGGGGGTTGCCGGCCAGCAGTTCCCCAGTGGCCACCCCCAAATGCTGTGGCCACACATTTCTAAACTGGAAAGGCCTTCCACTACAAGACCTGTGCGAATACACACTGGACGCCCCCGTTACAACTGAGAACTCACTTATTTCATTTCCTTCCTTCCTTTCCCTTTTTTTTTTTTTTTTTTTTTTTTTTTTTTTTTTTTTTTTTTAGAGCTGGGCTCTAGCTCTGTTGCCCAGACTGGAGTGCAGTGGTGCAATCATGGCTCACTGCAGCCTTGAGCCCCTGGGCTCAAGTGATTCTCCATCCTCAGCACCCTGAGTAGCTTGGACCACCGGCACATGCCATCATGCCCAGCTAATTTTTTTTTTTTTTTTTTTTTCTGAGACGGAGTCTCGCTCTGTCGCCCAGGCTGGAGTGCAGTGGCATGATCCCGGCTCACTGCAAGCTCCGCCTCCCGGGTTCACGCCATTCTCCTGTCTCAGCCTCCCGAGTAGCTGGGACTACCTGTGCCCGCCACCACGCCTGGCTAATTTTTTGTATTTTTAGTAGAGACAGGGTTTCACTGTGTTAGCCAGGGTGGTCTCAATCTCCTGACCTTGTGATCCGCCCGACTCGGCCTCCCAAAGTGCTAGGATTACAGGCATGAGCCACTGCGCCTGGCCATTTTTTTTTTTTTTTTAAGTTTTTGGAGAGCTGAGGTCTCCCTATGTTGCCTAGGCTGGTCTCAAACCCCTGGGCTGAAGTGATCCTCCCTCCTTGGCCTCCTAAAGTGTTGGGATTACAGTTATGAACCACTCCACCGAGCCCATTCCTCCTAGACTAAATCTTCATAGAAAAACTTACACTTCCGGCCGGGCGCGGTGGCTCACGCCTGTAATCCCAGCATTTTGGGAGGCCGAGACAGGCGGATCACGAGGTCAGGAGATCGAGACCATCCTGGCTAACACAGTGAAACCCCGTCTCTACTAAAAAATACAAAAAACTAGCCGGGCGTGGTGACGGGCACCTGTAGTTCCAGTTACTTGGGAGGCTGAGGCAGGAGAATGGCATGAACCCGGGAGGCGGAGCTTGCAGTGAGCCGAGATCCGGCCACTGCACTCCAGCCTGGGTGACAGAGCGAGACTCCGTCTCAAAAAAAAAAAAAAGAAAAGAAAAACTTACACTTCCAATAATGTATTTGCATTTTACGATGTTAATAAAACTTCCTAAAGATATCTTATGAAATTGGTGTCTTTTCCCCATTGATACACATGATTTTTAACATAATTGGCAATGTTTCAAAAGCAATTTCCATTTTGCCCCAGAACTGTGTTCCCCTTGTGAATGAACTTTCAAATTAAAAGGCACATGGTCAGGAAAACCGGATTTAATTTAAAGGCCATTGTTTTAGAATTGATTTATTTTTCTCGCCACTGGGATCCTTGCCTGAAAGGCGGCTGTGGGCAGAGGGCACACACTCCCCCTGCCCCAGCGCAGAGAGGGACTCAGCCTCCCTGCACCCGCAACAGTGCTTCCTGTTCCTCGTGCCTGGTACTCCCAGATGCCCACAGAGCCGGTCACCAGCTCACGTGTGTGAGGCCGACTGGGGGAGCCCCTGCCTGGCTCCTGTGCCTGTGACCAGTGTTCCTGTGGGGCCCTGGGGCCAATGCTACCAGCGTTGGCGTTTTCCCAGGAAGTTGGGAATCAGGCATCTGGTGGCTTCTGGTTCCAGTTCCTCCATGTGCTTTAAGTCTGGGCAGGTTTCCGGGTCCTGGTTTTGACTGATGAGGAACCTGACTCCCATGGGGGAGGCCAGTGGCTGCAGCAGGACCCCGGGCAGTGGCAAGGCCGGCCTTCATGACAGTGTCCTCCTCGGGGGTCCTGTCCCAGGCTCTTCATGACTCCCCTGGGGGCTTCTTAAAAGTGCAGATTCCTGGGCCCTGCCCCAGCCCCACCGTGGGGAGGGGTGTCCTGGAAGATGCATCTGCCCAGGGCTGCTGGCCGGTCCACACGCCTGCACCTGGAGGCCCACTGCCCACATCTCAGGCAGATAGGCCTGGGGGATGTTTGGGGACCCAACTCATGGTGCAGAGAAAGCCCCTTTCCCACCCCACACGCTCCTGGTGGTGGCCTGTCCTGTGGGCCCGGAGGGCTGGGTGGGTGGGACCGGGGACCCATGACCATGCTCGCTGGCCTCTGTCCCGTGCCCAGGCAGGGACAAGAGGCCAAGCTGGTGTCCTGCAGTGCACAGTGGATGCTGGTCGGGGGTGTGGAAGCTGGGTCTCCAGCAGGCAGGGACGCGCCAACAAGAAGGGCCACTGTTCCTCATTCAGGGTTCAGTGGGAAGAGAGGGTGTGGCTTCAGTGGGAATTCAAATGATGCTGACTTGAAAATGCAGCCAATGCCCATGTCCCAGGCATAAGATCATGAATAATGTTTCACTGACCAGTTCCTGTCTCTCTTTGTCCTTGCTTCTCTCTGTCTCTCTGTCTCTGTCTCTCTCTGTCTTTGTCCCACTTTAGCCTTTGGGAGGGGACAGCTCACAGGCTGACAGGTGAGGTCATGTGTCCTGAGCATGAGGTTTTCAGGTCTCACCCACGCTGTAGCACGTCAGAGCTTTGTTCCTTTTCAATGTTCCATTGTTTGCTGGCACCACGTCTCACATGGCCGGCCCTCTGCTGATGGGCATCTGGGCTACGTGCACCGTTCAGCTACCGGGAATGGTGCTGCTGTGAAGGGAGCTGGGATTTTGTCACCCACCTACTGTGCATGGCAAGTCCATTTCCGTCTCTGGGCTCAGGTGGCCCATCTGCAAAATGAAGGGGATGTGACCCAGTGGCCTCTGGCGGCAAAACTTTCCCAGGCTTGTCCTCTTGGATCTGAGGGAATTTCTTTCCTCCCAGTCCAGCCCCTCCAGTGCTCCTGCCCTTCGGGACACGTGCCTGGGGCCCCTCACTCCTTCCCACCCAGCCTTGGTCCACACACCTGCACCAAGAGGCTACCCCACTCATACTGCTCAGCCCAAACGGACCCACCATGGGACACGGGCAGGTTCTGCCCTCCCCCGGGGCCCTGTGCCAGCCTCAGCTGGGCCTGCGGTTCTGCTTCCTGTCACGTCCTCCCATTTTAAATGAACTGGATGGTGCAGTCCCCATGCACACCCTCAGCTCCACTGGGGTGTTAGACAGCCCAGCCCAGCCCAGCCCAGGGTCGGAGGCCTGCAAGGGCACACCTGCCTGGCCACATGATGGTGAAGGGAGGTGGGGCAGGGCAACCAAATTAACTTCCAATTCTGAGAAAGAGCCCCTGGGACATTCACCACCAACTGTGTGACCTCAGGCAAGTCATTTAACCCCTCTGAGCCTTGGGGCTCCTGAAAAGTGGGTGGAGTGGTCACGTCCACCTGGGGGGAGGTGGCGTGGGCCAGCACCCTCTAAGCTGCTTGTCCCAGGCCATCATGGCTCACTGGCCACACCCCAGCCTGGCCCGTGCCATTTCTCCAGGGCCTGGCATGTGGTGGCCCAGGAGCGTGCCACGGGCTTCTATCAGCTCCCGCCTGCCTGGGGAAGGGCAAAAGCGACAGGTTCCAGGCCATGGCCTGCACCCCCGCTGGCTGTGGGCAGGTCCAGGCCTGCCTGCCTGAGCGCTGCAGGGCAGTGGCCAAGCCTGTCCCATGGCACCTCACCGAGAACCTAGGAGGCTGGCCCAGGGGAGAGGCCACCTCAGTCAGGGCTGGGGGCTATGGGCAGGGTGGGCTAGGGTTTCCCTGTCCCCTCCCCCTCAGCATAGAAAAGGGACCCCAGCTGTGCCCCATCTGGACACTGCTACCTCCTCATGGGTGTCCAGGGCCACTGGGAGCTGGACACAGGGGCTCTCAGGGAGCAATGGTGGCGATGAAGACCAGCGGATGGGCGCCGGGTCAGGGCTCCCCATTCCCTGGGTGTCTCCTTCTCAAGGCGTGACCACCCAGGCAATGGCTGGCTCCAGGACAGGGCAGCTTCTCGTTCCCAGCCTGGCCAGCCTTCCCTGTGGGGCTGGGGTGCAGGGAGGAGCCCTGGCTCAGAAGGTCAGGGGACGTCTGTGTCCCCCAGCAGTTGGCACAGCAAAGCTCTGGCCTGGGGCTCGGCTGCAGCCTCCAGGGCATCCCTCGCACACGCTGTTCCCCAGATGGGGCGATTGGAACCTGAACCACCTCCAGGTCCCAGGCATCAGGGAGACCCCAAACCTGGCTGCATCCTCCAGGCCAAACCTAGACACAGTGGATCATAACAGACCACAGGCCTCACACGCTTGTCCCAGCCCAAGCATCTCAAAGAGTCTGCTCTCCCGAAGGCCCTCAAGGCAGCCCCAGGAGCAGGTGCTGCTGTCACCCCCTCTTCCGAGGCGGCGGCTCTGAGAAGCACCTGCCTGCCCAGGGCACCCCCGCGGATAGGTCTGATCCAGGCCTGCCACCTCCAAGGCAGAGCTGCCCACCTGGCCCTCAGTTTCCAGCCGCAGGGAGTGGGGTGGACAAAATGACAGTGGAGAGGGCACAGGGAGGGTGAGGCGGGGGCACCTGCCAGTGCTCGAGGGATGTCCCAGGCAGGCCCAACTGCCTGCTGCCCACCCCACCCTCGCCCCCGCCGAGGCTGTCACAGGAGGACAGAGCAGAAGTTCCCAGGACGCTCAGGTGTCACTCTTTCCTTCCTGCAGAGCGAGCTGCCCTCGGAGGCCGGTGTGAGGAAGATGGCCCAGTCCACCACCACCTCCCCCGATGGGGGCACCACGTTTGAGCACCTCTGGAGCTCTCTGTGAGTGCGCTCGGCTGGCCAGACCTGGGGGCTCCCCTGGGAGGCACTCTGGGCTAGCCTCAGCCACCCTCGCTGGGCTAACTGGGCCAGAGCAGGAGGGGTGGCCCCGGGAGGACTCTGGGCTAGCCCCAGCCACCCTCACTGGGACTCTGGGCTAACCTTGGCAACCTTCTCTGGGATTCTGGACTAGCCTTGAACACCCTCGCTGGGCTGACTGGACCAGAGCAGAAGAGGTAGCTCCACACTGGTCTTCAGCTAACCTTGGCCACCCTCATCGACTTGGGGACAGGGCTGGGTCAGAGGGGCAGGGAAGGGAGACCACTGCCCTAGGCCTACCTTGGGGACGCAGGACCAAAATTCAGACTCTTTTCCCAGGTTTGGAAAGGACCCATGGCCAGCAGAGGCCCAGAATAACAGAGGCCATGACTGGCTCTGCCTCTCTGGCACTCACAGCAGCCCTGGAGGAGCAGGTGGAGGACAGAGATGGCATGAGAGGGAGTGGGAAGGGCAGGAGACATAGGCCTCACCAGGAGTCTCGGGCTATCCTTGAGCTCTGGGCCTGGGAGGTATGGGGGTGACGCCCAGACTGGGGACTGACAGCTTCTATTTTCCTCTCCCTGCCCCAGGGAACCAGACAGCACCTACTTCGACCTTCCCCAGTCAAGCCGGGGGAATAATGAGGTGGTGGGCGGCACGGATTCCAGCATGGACGTCTTCCACCTAGAGGGCATGACCACATCTGTCATGGTGAGTGGGGGACTGCCCTCTGTAGAGGACTGGAGTGGGGGCAGAAAATGTGGCCTGTCCTGTCTTGGGAGCCTGGCAGAACCAGGAGATAGCCTCTTGATTATACAGCTTCCCCTGTGCGTTACTCAGTACACTTCAAATTGCAAAGGAGAAAATGTATCCGCTCATGTAACTGTCAATCCAGAGATAGGAATGGATTCAGGCATGGCTGGATCCAGGTATAGGAAGGGCTTCAGGCATGGCTAGATCCAGGTGTAGGAAGGGCTTTGGACATGGGTGGGTCCAGGTGTAAGAAGGGCTTCTACAGCTGGATCCAGGTATAAAAAGGACTTCGGGCACAATTGGGTCCAGGTGCTTCACAGCTGCCTCGCTCAGTCTCTTGGCCTGCTTTCCCCTGCAGTGGCTTCGTTTTTAGGCAGCCTCTCCACTCATGGTGAAGAGGACCAGGCTGCTCCAGCATGCCCTATCCCTGTGGAGAGGAGATCCCTCTTTTCCCATAGTCTAGCAGTCCTGCCTCTCGTTGATCTGAATGTGGTCAGGGGCCCATCTCTGAGCCAGCTCTGTGCCTCTGATTGGCCTGGGCTGCACCATCCCTGGAACAGGGTGAGGATGGAATGGAGTGGGGCGGGCCTCCCCACACAGGAACCCCCAAAGGAAGACTCTTCCAGTCGAAGAGTACTGGATAGAGGGCAGACAGGGTCAGTGAGGCCTCCGGCACCCCATCTTGGCAGGCTCCCCCATTCCTGGGAGTCTCAAGCCCTGCCCCATTGGCTGCTTCTCTGGGGGAAAAGGCCGGGCTGTGGGAGCTGGTGGGAGCCACGCTCCTGCCTATCTCTCCGGCCGCCCGTAGCAAGGCATCGACTCTGCCAGGAGGTGGATGGCAGGTGGGTACCACACACAAGGAGAGGGCAAAGATTCCGACCCCGGGCCTGCCCCGCTGGACTCGTTGGCTGCTCGGCCCCGCCCAGGGATTCCTAGGTGGGGAAGTTGTGCGCGGCTACGGGAAAAACAGCCCGAACTACGTGAACTACAGGGAGACACACGCACCCGGAACAGCGCCTCTGGGGCAGGGTCGGTCCTCTCTCACTTACGCTCAGCCCGCAAGGGAGGGAGGCCTCTGGGGGCCTGAGGGCACCCAGCCTGACCCTCCTCCTCCCTCAAGTCCCCATTCCAGGAGCTGGAGCCCCTCCCTTGCCCCTGCGCATGACTGTCTGAGGCACAGGCCACCCTGAGCACTGGAGGGAGTGGGGGCCGTGGGGCTCCAGTCGGAAGGAGCAGAGTGTAGTGGGGTGGGGGAGGCGGAGGTGCCATGTTGCCCGTTCCGTCTCCATCGCGAATGCTGGGCTGGCACAGAGCCATGTGGGGCCAGAGAAGTCACCTCCTTGGGCAGCGGCAGCCCCAGGGTGGGGGGCTTCTGGAAGGCGACAGCGCCAGGGGGGTCCATTCCTCCGAGGAGCCCCTCAGCCTGGATCTGAGGGTTCGACCACCCGCCCCTGCCCTCCCACCCCTGCTCAGGACACCGTCCCAGTGAAAACGCTCGACAGTGTTCCGCACGTGTCTAGTCCCATGTTACAGGCGAGGAAACTGAGGCAGATGCTGGGAAAGGGTGGGCTGGGGATGGGGCTGGGTAGTGCAAGAAAGTGAGACTGTGACCTCTCCCCTCTCTCCCTTTGGAACAATTCTGTCAGCTGCTCTCTGGGGACAAGGGTCCTGACCCCACCCCCTCCACGTCCCCTTCTGGACATCCGTGTCCTCCAATCTGGGGAGGGGCAGGAACTGGCCGCTGGATCCCAGGGAGGGAGGGAGGAAGACCCATAAGATTGTCCCCTGAGATCCGGAAGCCTCCCGACCCCAGGTTGCTCAGCCCCCACTCCCCCTGCAGAGGGCAGAAGGCCCCTAAGATGGCACAGACCCGCCCTGCGTCAGGAGGAGGACCTGGGCTCAGGGAGGCAGAAGGAGCAGTTCTGCATTCCTGTGGGTGGGAAATGCTTGTCCCCCCGCAGCCCCCGAGGGTTCCCTGAGCTCCACATCAGGATCTGGTCCGAGCCTCCGCCTGCTGGAACGTGCTACTCCCCAGCCACGGGGTGACGGTGGGCCTTGAATCTCCACAAACAGCAAGGTGGCCGGATCTGTCAGGCAGTGACACGCCTCCTCCCAAAGCCACGTATGAAATTCCTAGGTGCACAGCTCGGCTCACGGAGATGGGGGATTCCCTGGAACAAAGGCTGGCCCAGGCCTGTGTGGGGAGAGCCAAGCCTCATTCTGACCCCAGGGCCCAGCCCCCTCACGACAGCGGCTGCTGAGCCAAGAGCATGCTGTCCCCTACCTCTGACCCCCATGGGAGCACCAGGTGCAAAGAACAGGGTGACTTCAAGGGGTGCCAACTGGCCAGCTCGGGCAGCCTGGCATAGAGCCCAGGGCTTAGCTGCCCTAAGAATGGCCCCTGGCCTGCCGAGTCCAGGGATCCCAGAGTGGGGCTGGAGCTGAACTGGGAGGCATTGTTTTAAAGTTCAGCCCAGGAGCTCAGGGAAGCTGCTGTGCTGCCAGGTCCAGGGACCTGGACCTGGCTCAGTGCGGATGCAGGCATGTGGGACTCTGAGTGCCCCCCAGAAAACTGCCATCTGCAGCTCAGGGGCCCAGTTCTAGCCCCACCACGAGGCTGGTGACCTTGAACAAGAAACACCACACAGGCCCAGCCTGGGGTCAGACAGATGGTTCTGGTGCTGGATGTTTCTGGGGCTTCCGACAGTCCTGAGTTCGTGGCTCAGGTGGGGGGCCTGCTTGTGGAAGTGGCTGCATGTGCACCCGCCCCCACCTGCCCCTGGCGGCTCCCTCTGGCCACTTGTCCCTGGGTATTGGTGGCCTCTGGCCGCTCCCATACTCGGGGGCGGGTCTGGGACTCATCCAGCAAAGGGGCCTCAGCTCGGGCAGGCACAGTGCTTGAGTGCGGAACACCTGTCCTCTGCAGTGGGGTGTGCCTTCCGCATCTGGGGGACGTGGGTCTCCCTGTATCACGAGTGGGCAGATTGGTTCCCACTGTACACAGGGTGTCTGAGGGATGCCTTAGCCACCTGCTTAACAGCTGTGGGAGACAGGCAGAATGGGTGGTTTCAAGCTCCCACAATTCTCTGAGCCTCCATGTCCTTGCTGGTGAAGTTGGGGTGACAGGGGGTAGTGTAGCAGGACGAGCTGCAGACAAAACTCCTCAGACACCAAGTTAAAGAAGGAAGAGGTTTATTTGGCCGGGAGCATCGGCAGGACTCCAGGCCTGGTTTTGGGTCTGGTTCCTAAGCGCTGGGCTACCTGCCTTTAGTTTTGCTTTTCTTTCTTTTTTTTTTTCTGAGTATAAAACAATATGAGAGGGTCTGTCTCTCTTCCTTCATTTCCCCCCTTTGAGACTCTCACTTTTTATCAGTGGGAGTTCTCACTCTTATTTTCGCTACTTTTGTCTTCCTGTGCAATATTGATAATATGCAGATCGATACTGATTCATATAGTACACTTGTGCTGATACGTAACATGCAGTGACATTGAGTACTGGGTTATGTGCTCGGCTAATTGCAGAAACAAATTTCTTGTTTTTCCTGGAATTTCTGGTACTGGCACATTCAATTCATCATAGAAGTTTTGATATACTGGCTCAGGAGAGTGTTTGTAAACGTTTTCTCAAACCACGATGTTTACCTGAAGACCTAGTCCAGCTCCATCAGTTTTTAGGGTTATACATTCTCTTTTTTCTAGCAAGGATTAAGGGGGTTGGTTATTACTAGTTCTGAGGTGTTACCTGGACCACTGGTATAAGAAGGGCCACTTTTCCCTTGCTGAAGGTGGACAGGATTTTTTCTTTTTTTTTTTCATTCAAGTAGCCTAAATGACACAAGACCAGTATCTACATTTATTTTCACATAGTCTTAATTCATGATAAATGTACTTATTTTTGCCATATAATCTCTTTTTTAAGTAAGAGAACCACATCCTATTTTTAATTTATTATTATTAATGACAGCACAGGCATCAAATTTTAAGGTGACTTGTTTGGGCACCTACTTTTTTTGTTTTGTTTTGGCTAACGCTTTAATCATATCATTCATGAGGCCCCACCAGTCTTCAGTTCTTAATCTTATTTTAAAAACTGTGATCATGGGAGTCTCAGATGGGGCATAACACACATCGGGTTGGTCCTTTCCTGGGCTACATACCTTGTATAGAATAACATTATACAAACAAGTTCTTTTTAGAGCTCCCGTACACTTATAATGACCATAAAATAATAGGACCATCGCAACTTTTTGTCCTACTTCAGTGATTTGATGTATACACTGTGAGCAGCCCTCTGTCTGAGGAAGGTCAGTTGAAGTCCTTACTGTACAAGTCCAAATTTTAAGGAAAACGAGTCCCGCGATGAGTTTCCTCATGCTTCAGCCGTGTGTGGAACAGTCAGCTTCCGGGTGTGACTGGGGCAGGGCTTGTCATCCTCTTCAGAGTCACTTTGCAGGGGTTGGTGAAGCTGATCCCATCCACGTACCACTCCCAGTCTACTGATGTTTCAGGACGGCCTCGGAGGTCGGGCCCATTAGTTTAAACTGAGTCCAACACCTCTACACAGTTATGTTTAACTGGGCTCTCTGATACCGGGAGCAAGGTGGCGGGGTTTAGAATGTTGTAAACTTCGGCCAGGCGCGGTGGCTCAAGCCTGTAATCCCAGCACTTTGGGAGGCCGAGGCGGGCGGATCACAAGGTCAGGAGATCGAGACCACAGTGAAACCCCGTCTCTACTAAAAATACAAAAAATTAGCCGAGCACGGTGGCGGGCGCCTGTAGTCCCAGCTACTCAGGAGGCTGAGGCAGGAGAATGGCGGGAACCCGGGAGGCGGAGCTTGCAGTGAGCCGAGACCGCACCACTGCACTCCAGCCTGGGCAACAGCATGAGACTCCGTCTCAAAAAAAAAAAAAAAAAAAAAAGAATGTTGTAAACTTCAATGGTTATGCAGGGATTTTCA